CCCTTCCAGCTTTCCTTCCTTTACTATTCATCCTACACAAAATATTTCAATTAAGTCCTTGAACTCTTCTATTTATCTAATTTAGTCACTGAAATCTAAAATCTTACAATTTGGTCACTAACCCGATGTTTGGGATGTTACAATTATAAATAAATTAATTAAAATAAATAAACATAGATTTTAAAAATTACCTATTTAATTTCTACAACAACATTGGCATGTAGCTCCAAAAACTTGTCGTCCAAAAATTTAATGTAGATCTTCTCTCTATATCGTCACTTGTCGGAGTAATTTTGAGCAGTTCTGCACACAGGCCCCTCCATTGCCCATGGACGATACCGGTAATAGGATTTCCGTCAACAGGGAGCCCAACATGGAATGTGACATCTTCAAGGGTAATAGTTGCCTCCCCACAAGGAAAATGAAGCGTGTGCGTCTCCGATCTTCACCGTTCTAGCAACATGTTTATCAATGGAGGATGCAACTTCGTACCACCAGTTATAGTGCTAACATAACCAAAATTGGCTTCGTGCAAATATGGAATAATATCAACATGAGGGCTTGAGAAACGGTTGATATAACACACCAACAAACGTTCATACTCCTTCAAATAAATAAATAAATAAATAAGTAAATAATTTATTTGAAATAAATGAATACGAAAATAAATAAATAATTCAAAGTAAATAAATAAATAAAAATTACCTCCGAATTTGTCCTCCAATAATCGCATACATGCCTATGATCAACCCTCAGTAATCTCGCCATAATAATATCAGAGAGAAAATGTGCGAGAGAGATTTGTTTTTAAGAAGGGTGTGAGAATTTTGGTTTTGGGGGCCTATTTATAGTAGTCCTCGCACCGCCCTCGAAGCGAGATTAATGATACCTCACGTTCAATAGAGCGCAAGGTTAGGGAATCTTTTGAAATTTTAAATTTCAAATCTTCTCTGAACGCGATATAGTTGTGATAAATTTCTCGGAAGAGTTCAATATCTCGAAACCTCGCGTTCTATGTAACACGAGATATTTAATACAAATTTTAAATTGCACTCTCTGAAAAGTACGTCCACGTAGTACGTACCTCGCGCTTTGTACAAAGCGAAGCCTTTCCTCGCGTTTTGTAGGATGCAAGTTAATCCTATATGTGCAGGTTGGGGATATTTTTCTAATAAATCTATTTAGCATAGTCTCAAACTAGCATGGTCTTCTGCTTTGAAAAATTTATAATCTATATTCTTTAAAATCTACGTGTTCAATCTCTTATTCTTTGACCATTTTCATAATCTATATTCTTTAAAATGACATTTTTCTCAAGATTTTTTTTTACCTAGATCGTTGGCGTGACTGCCACACTGGTAAAAAATACTTGCTACAAAGAGTTTCCTTGGAAAGAGAAACGTAGAGTACATCTTAACAGCCTCGTCAATGATTCAGCTGAAAGAAACTTTTTTTATAGAAAATATTTTCATATTATGTGATCGATTTTTTTTATTTCAAATAAAAAATAATATTTTTAACGAATATATTTAAGTAAAACCCTTAATTTAAACATGTCATAACCTAACTGAAAAAGCAAACCATCAATCTGATACAGATAAAGCTCACTTTGTCAATGATACTTTCCAAAAATTTATATAACAAGACACACTTCTTTTGCTCATAGTACTTTTTCAAATAATATTAATATAGTATACGTTTAAAATCATTTGTAATTGTTTATATTGTATATATAGAGTGTAGACTTATTTGAATATAAATTTTTAAGGGTATTATTTTATTCAGTCACTCGATTATTAAAAGTTATAAAACAATCGTCTAATCATAGAATATTACTTTATTAATACATTTTACTATTAAAAGTTATAAAAATAGTCACCCAACTATTTATTATGTCCTAAAATCATCCTTTTTGTTAAAGTTTGGTGGTTGTCTAAGTTGGACATTGACATAATAACTAAGATATGATAGTCGTTTGAGATTATGGAATCAGATTTCATCATATCACATTCAACAGGTTAACTTTCATCTCAGAATACTGTCAATATTTTAATAGAAAAAGACGAGTTTGGAACATAAATAAATAGTTAAGTGATCAATTTGTAACTTTTAATACTAAAGGAACTCAATGAAGCAACATCATATAATCAAAAATTATTCTATAACTTTGAATAATCGAAGGAGTTAAAAAAATAGCATCGATGAATTATTTATATATTTTTATCCTACTTTTATTTATGGAGGCGGTTTAATAAATTTTTTATACGCAACAAATTTAAATGAATATTTTTTTGAGGGGCGATATTCTTAATAAAAAAATCTACCTTGTTTTAAACACATTTAAAGTAGGATTGGGTACTAACTATTTTTGTGTTTTGTCTACTTTTAATCATTAATTTTAGAAAATATAAGATATGATTATCTTTGTTTTTATTTAATTAAGATATAGTCACTTTCGTTTTTATTTAATTAAGACGTGTTTATCCTGAGTTAATTATCGTTAACAACAGTTAAATATTTTTGTTATAATCACACATTTGGTTCATGTTATTTACATATTCTCTCAATTTAGTCATACTTTTAATAAATTAAGATAAATTTAATCCTCCAATCGAACGATGTCACATGTCATGCCAGTAAGGTTGTTCAAAAATACCCAACCCGATTGAGCTGACCCGTTGACCTACTGACCCAGTTAAAAAAATCAGATATTTATAATAAAAATATCCGATTTTTTGGGACGAGTACTCGGCCAGGTTTTTGGGTCGAGCATGGGTCACAAAATGTATGTTAATTGGGTACCCTCCAACCCGGTACCCGATTTATTATATATTTTTTATTTTTATCTTATATTAAATTTGTATTCATAATCCTCAAATTATTTCATTCTAACATTCTAAAATCTTGATTTCTTAAATTTTTATATCATAACGTTCTAAATTCTTAATTTATTAAATTATTACAAATTAACGTTCTAAATTATTTTTTAAAACATTTATTTTAACTTCAAAACATTTAAAATTTAATTATACATCTTTATTTTAAATTTTAGTAAATTTTATTTCAATTATGTAATTTTGAATTTTTAAACTTTATGTGTGGATTATATATATTATAAACTTTTAAATTTTAGAGTTATATATATATATATATATATATATATATATTTAAAAATAATATAATTTATAGAAAAAATAAAAAAAAAATTATGAACCAAGTACCCATGACCCAAATTAGATATAATATAATTTTATATATATTAACTTAAAATACTTTATATCAACTTATTAAAAATGTTTTATTATTAACTTAATTTAAAAAAATTATTTTATTTTCATTTAAAAATATATAACTTATTAAAAATATGATTAAATTGAGAGAATACGTAAATAACAAGAACCAAATGTGTGATTATATCAAAATATTTAATTGCCGGTAGCTAGCTCGGGTGACTATATCTTAATTAAATAAAAATAAAAGTAACTATATCTTATATTTTTTAAAATCAATAACAAAAAATGAGTAAAACATAAAGATAAATTATCATATATTTAGTTAACCCTTTAAATTATTGTAAGTGCCAACTCAACTTGTTGGGAAGATAAGATCAACAAAAACAACTTTAAAATTCAGTCTTGTCGCTTATGGGTGAAACTCTCTTTCTTTTTTATGCTTCTTTTCTTGGCACACATCTACAAAAGGAAGTCATTTTTATTACGACTGGAAAAAAATCAATTTAAATTAAAACTTTTATTTTCTTTGATATTAAAAAAATTAATTTAATATTTTAAAAAATAAAATTTGAGTTATTCGGATAATTTAAATTTTTTAATAATTAATATATTGTTTTTAAAGTTTGAGTCGTGATTCTTAATTCATATATATATATATATATATATATATATATATATATATATATATATATATAACATTTTAAACTTGAATCAATATGTACTATAACATTATAAATATTTAGAATTGAATTTAAATATAAACTTAAATAATTTAATTTTTTTTCAAATTTTATAAATTCAATTCGATTCAAAATTTATCAAGTCTAAAATTTTTAATTCGATCTAATCGATTGATAAATCCAAAAATTTTATTGTGTTACTCGCATCAAACGAAAGTCAATTTTGTGCTCTCATGATAGAGTAAATGTTGTCTAAGAAAAATATTTTTAAGAGTAAACTGTTTAAATGGTTTTCAAAGTTTTAAGACAATTGAAGTTTAGTTATCAAACAAAACTTAAAATACCATAATTTAACTTTTGATACGGTCACTTTTAGCAACTTCCTTTAAAAACCAAAGGCTAATGTATATCTTGATTTTTGTGAAATGACCCTAATTTTTTTGTGTGTGAAAAATATTGATTTATAATCTCTTTTGATTTCTCGATAATGAATAAGAAATTGTCTATCTTGATTCTATGTCGATAGAATGGTGGATATTGTAGACCAAAATGATTTGAGAAGTTGTAAGTTTTGAATTGAATTTTATGAGTTTTAAAGTGGTTTTTGAAAAATCCATACTAACAAAGTGGTAAGAGATGCCGAGACAAGTTCGTCAGTATCTTGAGTGATCGTAGAAAACATTGACGGTTTCAACACTGACATAATACAAAGATGAGGTTGTAAAGCTCTTTTCTTTGGAGGAAGAAGATTAAAAAAAAGTGTATGACTAACTGACATATAGACTCCGTGTTAGCAAATAGTTCATATAAGTAAACATGATTGTCTTATAATCGTTCCGTTCATGTTTTAATATCTAAGTGATCAGGAGCAAATAAAATTCATTGAATAAATTGAAAATTTTTAATCTCGAGTGACCAAAATAAAAGTGAGAATAAAATTAAGTGAATTTATAGTTTATCCATAGAATAGGTATCAGACAAAGCTTCTTCATTTGGGAGTAAATTCCACTCTTGACACGTTCTTAGAAAAGGGAAAATTTCCCAAACATTTAAACCACAACTCCAAGCTTTCAATTAATATCCATACTTTTGGAGTAAAATTGATGATCCAATAAGCAATGCTTTGTTCATTTAGTATATACATTTCCTTCCATGTAATAACTTCAAACCTCAAAAGTAAAGTGCTCTCCTCAAATTACGAGCATTGATGCTTCACAAATCGCATCAACAGATACCATCATGCTCCTTCACAAAACAAAACTTCAAAATAAGAAAGATAAATTACATGAACTGCTTCAACTTGGAGGAACAAGTTGTTTTCTTCAATAACAGAGAAGAGCTAAATCCCAGCATGGAACTCTCGAGATCAAACTCCAAAAGGTTACCTTCCATTTGGAGCCCTCCTATCACAATGGGGCTATTTTGATCCATTCCTCCATCCAAAACCCCTAGGCAAATGCTCTCTTGGTTTACTTTCACCATTGAAGAACTCCCTTGAATCCTCCATTTCACCATCTCGCTTTGCAAAACCAGGTCGATTTCGGGCACCAAAGGGCCATGCTTGGAGCTAAAGCAGAGTCCGAATGGAGCCACGGTTGGCGCCCTGGTCATGTTCATCGAAGCGGCTGCCTCGACATACGCCTTGGAAAACGTTGCGTAGATTGAGGTTTGCATCGTGGCATAAGGCACGGTTGTGCTTAACTTGGCCTCTAGTTTGCTTAACCCCAACCTTCTTCCGTTGATCTTGATGGACTGAACGTTAATGGAATAGCCGTCTTGTTTGATGACGAGGGGTGTGTACGTTAACGACCTTGTTATTTTGGAACCGAAAAGAGTTTCTCCGTTGCCCGTTAATAGCACACCGTTTGATGATGATGATGATGATAAGCAAAGAGTGAACTTTTGTGGGTGTCCGATTGAGGCACTGAGTTGAGACGGCAATGAAATGGGAGATTTCCCTAAACCCACCATCCCCTTGGCACCAATGGCCAAGCCCTGCAAATGGAAGGTCGGTGCACAAGAGTGGATGAAGTGGTCGACAGTTGTGATTTCTCCGACTTTTAACATTTCAACCGAATCGACGGCTATGATATCCTCCACCAGTTCCCCTATTGAGGTCAACCCCGTCACACCATTGTTGGGGAACACATTACAATTTGCGTTTAAGAGACAGCTCTTGCTTCCCGGCTCGTTGAACTTTGCTCTCGAGCAGTTGACGGAGCAGCTGGAGATCAACCGGTTTGATGACGAAACGTGTCCGGAATCGCAATCCATCCAAAGAAACGAACCGCCGAGATCAACCACGAGGTCGGTGCGTCGCAAAGGAGTAGCGTGAGAAATCCTGGCGACATACTGGAGAGTTGCGGCGTCTTTAACGACGGGGAACAGAGCGAAATTTGATCGGAAACCCAGAACAGGGAACGCGTTCCTGAAGCAGAGAAAGCAAGAGAAAAAGAGAAGGAAGCAGTGAGTAGAGGAAGCCATGGGAGTAGTGGAAAATGCGTTTGTGTAGGTTTTAAATATGCGATGCGATGGTTCGCCGCGGTTGGGTGGAATGGGATAATCGGAAGGGAAAAGATAAGAGATTTGGTTTATTGTTAGGTTTAATGCGTGGTAAAGGGCAACTGGGGAGTGGGGACTACCACCATGTTTATCCTCTTCTGACTCACTCGACTCTGACTCAGCGGCTTCTTTTTTCTTCATATCTATCGTCTCCAACGGCAACTACATTACAGAAACATCTTGGTTATTTCTTCGAATGGGGCCTATACTATCAATTAAATTATAGATTCAGTCTTTGTATTCTAATTTAATTAATTTTAGTTTTTGTATTTACTAATTTTAAAAATTTTATTTTGAATCAAACGCTACAAGAATAATAGAATTAAATTAAAGAAATTATAAATAATCAACTTAAAGAACATAAATTAAAAATACAATTCATGCATATTGCATAAATTAGTAACATAATTTTATCAATTTATGCATATTGCATAACTTAGTAACATAATTTGATTTAACGTATTAAATGGCTACTATTTAAGTCAAGATGAAAGTTTAAAATTAAAAAAAAAATGAGAATAATCAAACTAAAGAAAATATTTAAATCCGTAAAATATACATAGTACAAGAGTTAATAACATTACAAGGTCAAATTAAGATATAAAGATTTTATTAATATGAATAGTACTAGGACTAACAACAGAATGTAACCAAATATCTTGAGAAACAAATGCAAAATCCAACGAAGTCCCCGTTTATCAAAATGAAAAGCCAAAAAAAAAGGCACGTTTTTTATTGTGTGGAATTTTTATTGTGAGCAGCAAGTCACGTGGGAATGCGTAAACAACTAATTTTCTTTGGTCTGACCATATTCAAAACCCATGAACTTTAATCAGATTATCAAATTAAATCCTTTATTTTTAATTTCTATAATTTTCTCCTCCTTTCACTCAAAGAAAAAAAAAAGAAAATAACTATTTGATAACCAAGTAAAAAACCAAAAGAAGAGTATAAGCGAAATCCCTTTTTACGAATAAAATGTATACTCTCAATTAAACGCAAGTGAGCATTTGATTCGTGGAAAAGATTATTATCAAGAAGAATAATCTTTTTCGGAATTATATTTTTTGTTGATGAGACTAAGTTAGATTTGTTGGCCGTTGACGGTTCACCTCTTACAGCTAGATCGTTAAAAAGAACAAAGGCAAATAATAATACTAAAGTTCCTTGAGGGGAACACCTCGCATTGCATCCTCCTCCCTGGTTCAAAAAAATAATAGTAACTTATCTCCACATTAACACCTTTCATGGCCAATCCTACAAAAATGGGAAGAGATCTAATTTTAGAAGTGACCCTATCTACCTCCATGCGTCAGCAACAATATATTACATACAGACATACATATGCACTTTGAATTGCAATTATCATCATAAAACTCAAATAAGCTTTTTCTCGACTTGTTATTTACCTTCCATTTCACACCTTTATGGCCAACATTTGACCACCCTTTAAATCGCTTGACAGCACCAAAATCATGACACGAAATTTGAAAAATGAACATCACTCGAAAAACTAGGCCAGAGTAGAAAGTCATTTGCAATCAAATTAACTGAAACGAATTATGATAATCACAGAAAATATCAACCTGTATTTATCACTCAGCTTTCTTTTGAACTAGAGGCCTATGTGGATTTGGAGCTGGAAGAAACCAAAATCATGAGTTAATAGACTAAGACCTTGTAATTTCCATAATGCAGTGAAGCAGAAATTGCATACCATTGGGATTCCCCTGTTCGTAGAAACTTCGGAAAAGGGAGACTGCTTCCGAGGCCATTAATCCTCCTGTACATTTGAAACCTTTCCTTTGAGGAACTTTATCACTATAGGAAAATTAGAAAAGAGTCATTCATTTGAATTACAAATTGTTCTAATAAATTGAAGAGGATGAATGCGGAAAGAAATTCCAGCATTAATGCCTTCTCATTTTCCACATTAGAGAAAAAAAAACTATATAAAATAAATCTAGTGAAGAGACAATACGAGCATATTATCAAGAAATATTGCAGTAACAAAGGTGGCATTCCCTTCTAAACATTATTTGTGATGATGTGAATAGAATCACTTTCTTTTGGACTGTTTCCTTTTCCGAGAGAGAGGAGAAAAGGAAAAGACCTCCAGGATTTGGTCTCAAATTAAAGTGGGACAAGAACATGTACAATTTCATTTCAATGAAAAGTATGAAATAGGCAAGAGACGGTTAATAATCAACCCAAAGGTTTAGACAGCAGCTTTTAGGCAATCAATACTTTGTAAAAAGTATATTTGATGAATTTGAAGGGAAATAGTTGAGAATTAGATGAGTGACTTGCATTGTCACGTACTGTGAATGTAACAATCATTGAGACAACTTCTGCAGCTATATGCAAGATATATAGGGAAAGAGAACCGTTGGCGTTGTGTCATCATCAACATTATATTGAGTACATGAAAACATAATGAGGACAGAGTAGGCTCAAAAGCAATAAAGGGAATTCTGATGTAAAGCATGGAAAACATGGACAAATCAAGTTTTTTCAGCAGAATAGATGGAAGTCCTTTGAGAAGAGGGTAGAAGCAGTGTTACCTAATTCGCCCCCACCCCTACGAATCTCGTTTCAATTCATTCGTTCCAATTCGGTAAGGAATGCGTATTGGAACGGCCAGATTGGTGTACTAAAAAATCCAGCACAATAAAAGAAAACAATGTTAATAATAAAGAGAAAAAAGTATCAAGATTCTAACACCGCAATCAATATATATACTAACCTCGAGAATAAGATTATTTTAAACTGTAATTATTGTAATAGCATTGGAAATAAGAAAAATCTGAGTTGCAGCACAGCTTTTATGAGAATGAAAGGCTCCTAACCGTTGCATAATATACATGAAGAAGAAAACAACAATTAATAACTAGCAGAATATACACAGGGAAGAAAAGAGCAATTAATAATTAGCATGGGGAACAAAAGAGCAATTAGTAAGTAATTAACATTGGGAATAAGATTAATTTAATGCAGTGTATAACTTCTATCATAATAAAACAATAGACAATCTTATGCTTCTAGCCGTTGCAAAATATACCAACATGAGGAATAAAAGAACAATTAATAAAACAATGCAATAGACAGCTTTTTTTTAGATAAATTTAAGGTGCAATCAATATATTAGCATTGGAAATAAGCTAAATCTAATGTGGTGTATAGCTTTTATGATAATAAGAAAAAGAATAGACATAATTAGCTTCTCTTTTTCTTTAATACTTCTAGCCGTTAGTGGGTTGATGGAGTCTGCTTTTATTAAGCAGTGGAAGGGTTTCTAATCCTAAAAAATCATATGGACAAATTATTAAAAATTTATCGATGAACCAAACAAAATATCATCACGAATTATGATCCAAAAATATGTTCCAAAGAAGTCTACCCCCAACGAACCGCAAACGATAGAATTAACGAATTGTGATGTCGTACCCGTTCTGCGAATCAAAGCGAACCGTGAATTAGGTAACACTGGGTAGGAGCAGGGTTTCAAATTACAAACCGAAAACGCGATAGCGGCCGTGATATTGCGGTAGCGCCGCAGTCCGAAACCGGTTTTCATGATTTTTTTGCAGTGGGTAACGGATTCACACCAATAGCGGTATGTCGCTCTCGCAATTTAACGGGTAACGGTGGATTGTGCCGATCACGGGACGCTATAAGCGTTATTCCAATTGTCATTCCAATTTCCAACCGCAATTTTTTTTGTTTCAAAAAATGAAAGGTTGGGGGAGTTGAGAGTAAAAGCAATTTTTTTTTCAGACAATGAAATTGGGGGAGGAGGAAGGGGGACGCAGAAAGGTCGGGAAGGGGGAGGGAGGTTGCTTTATTTCTTTTTTTTTTTTTTAATAATTTTTAAAGTATAATTTTAAAAGATATATTAATTTGACATCCCTCCCACTTTTAGAATTTATAATTTAATCCCTAGTTTAAAATGTAAACTTTAATTTTTATTTAATTTAGCCTTAATTTCAGTAATCTAAATTTCTGCAATTTAAATTTTACAATTTTATTTTAATTATATTTAATTTAGTCATTTTAGGGTAAGTTATGTGACATTTAAAAAAATTCACGACCGCGATACCCACAATGACTGTAATGACATCCGTTATGTCCGCAACCGTGATAAACGTGTTGCGACCGAAAACGTGACCGCGAACGCTATTTAAAACCCCTGGGTAGGAGTCTTCAAAGTGGTGGTGGAATTAGAAAGGAAGTACAAAAAGAGGGGGGCAAATATGCAAACATTGAGGAGTATAGTCTAACTTCAAGGAGAGGCTAGAAAAAAGAATAGCAGTCGAGTAAAAATACCTAAAAACTGACAACAAATCCATGGGCATGGAAAACTAGAAATGGTCAAAATACCAAAACATGTAGTGGTGTTAGGTTCCTAAGAAAAGAGAAAATAATCTCAGTGACCAAAAATCCCATATAATATACGATTTTAACCAACTTTTTCCGGATTTGCCAAAATGACCAACAAAATCGCAATGCGATCGCTAATTCGCAACGCGATCTCCATTATCGCAAATTCGCGTTGCATTTCGCGTTGCGATAGTTGGAAATCGCGTTGCGATGGTATATAGTGTCGTTGCGATTTTCCCAATTCGCAATGCGAATAAGTAAATCGCAACGCGAATTGGGAAAATCGCAATGCGATACTGACTATCGCAATGCGATACTTACTATCGCAATGCGATAATACAAAATCGCAACGAGATACTGACTTTCGCAACGCGATTCTGACTTTCGCAACGTGATTTACATAGCGCTATTCGTATTAACGCGTATTTTTTTTTAAATTCCAAACACGAATTTTTTCTTAATAAATCGGAAACTGAACCGTCCACAGTAATCGCAACTCATAACCTCAAACCCAAAATCACAACACTCAGTCCCATCTCCATCTCTCACTCTCTACGGCGAAATCTGTCACCGTCTCCGAAGATTTCCGTCCCCCATCGCCGGCGAAATCCCTCACAACCATTCACAGTCAAAAATC